CAGCATCCAATGTCGAACACTTACAGAGCTATTTATTTTGGGAATTTATTTACCGTTACAGCTTTAATCCACCCATGTTAGTGGGACAGAAGTGTTTTTTCGTATCAGACTCCTTATGATTGAGAACGAGGCAACCAATCAGCGACACTGAGGTTATTCTTTTACGCTCACTATTGTGACTCGTTTTTTTCAGTTTTTTATGCTGGATTAACTATTCTAGTGAGACAATCTGTAACAGGCTAACTTGGATCTATGCATTAAGACCTAGTGGCTGGCGTCTGGTGAGAAAAAATTTAAAAAATCCGACATCACAAGATATAGGTATTAACGTTTCCTCTCTTGGCATACTTTCCATCCTAGTGAACAACCTTCTTTATTCTAACTTCGACTTCCTTGACATCATTTAAACTCATTTCACCTTGTTACATGACGCAACTCATCGTTCCTCGTTACTGCATTCTCTTATCTGGAGGCTCTAACCATACTTCACTCCAGCAACACGAGCTAGTATGATCGTAATCTACTACTACTAGCCGAAAAATTTCTTCAATCTTATGCTCGTTTCAGATTATTAATATGGTAAGAGCTACATATTTTACTAGAGGAGAGATTAGCAAGTTCAGTCGGCAGGTTACAGTTTTCAATCTGAAGTTGGTTATATTGTGGTGTGCACTACTGATGTCGATAGATATATAAGTAGTATTTATCATCAGTCGAAAGTGATGTGCCTGGAGGCAGAAGGTTAAGAAGACCAAGGAAAAGAAAACGAGAACAGAAAATTGATATGGAGATGAAAAAACAATGAAGTCTGAGATGATTGATTAACATTTTGCAAATGAATTACTTACTGTATAGATCTCAGGTTTTACGAAGACGTTCTGTAATTCTGTAATCAAATACATTTAATTATCCCCATCACTGTCCTCGTACACCATAAGATAACATCAAGTCGTTGTCATTTCCCTCTTGTGAGTACATAAACTCACACATTATGGTTAATACAGCACAAATAACACGTTCAGTATACACCTTGTTATGTCAAGCAACCGTTCTATCAGATATCATAAATAAATAATTTCCGTTGATGGTTTAAACATTTTTTATCAACTAATGGCAAAAATGATCAATATACATTTGGATATGAAAAATTGTCAGTACGTGTGTCCTATCCGCTTCTATCAAGATGTTCACAGGAAAACTATGAAATTTAGGGATGAATAGGTAGAAGATATATTCAAATCCCATATAAAGCTCTCGAAGCTGGAGATCGTCACAGCAGAAGCATTCGATGAATAGAGAAACATGGTCCTGAAATATATTTCCCAAGCGACACTCTTTAGGTAGAAGCTTTTCTAGCAGGTCGAACATGGTCATCATCAAGTCCACTGCTTCAAAAGCATTTAGCTTGAAAAGTAATTGCCAAGATTTACGTTACTGAACATATTGGTTTAAATATATCTTATATCCTACCTTCATTTGAGGGACTGTTTTGTACTTTGTAGGCGTTCACCACTTTCTAGTAACATTTTTAATACTTGTTTTCGAGAAAATTAACATCGATTCATGTAGCTTCATTCTCACTAACGTTATTTTCGATGGTACACCCGTCTCTTGGTTCACATGATGAGCATTGATCTCAAATGGCAACTGGTAGATATGTCGAAATAGAGTGTAATGTTTGCAAATGTCTTCACGAATCAATCAAAATATGTTCACAAATGGTTGTGTACGGAATAGAAGAAGCTTTCGCTTAACAGGCTTCCGTGTCTAGAAGCACGCGATCACCAAATCCTCCAGGCAGGAACCTAGGTATGTTAACAATAAAACAGGAAAAGAAATTAATTAATCATAGTGCGATACTATACTTAGTCCTTAAGAATATATCAAGCTGCCTGCTTAAGGTGTTTAAGAGGATGTCCAGAAGTGTTAAGAATACTATAAGCCATTAATAAATCACCTCTAAGACGCCTATATTCTAATGGGTAAAGGTCTAGTGAATGGAGGCGTTCTTCGTAAGGTTTAGATTTGAGTCCTCGAACTGATTTCGTGGCTCGCCGTTGGATACGCTCCAAAGTGACCTTGTCCTTTTGGAGTGAGGGGGGAGTACTATGTTTCCGTACTCTAAATGGGGACGGATGAAACTATTGAAGATTGTGTGGAAAGTTCTTCCGTCAAACTGTCCAAAAATGCGCTCAACGTTACCAGTGCAAGGTTTGCTCGGAAGGCATTTTTGTCACAGTTAGCGTAAGACTTTAAATCATGGGGCACCAGGACTCCTAAATCTTTTTCGACTTGGGATACTACTAGAGAGGAGTTTCCTAAGTTGTAACTGTAGTTTGCGACATGTCGCAGATGGACTACTTTACACTTTGAAGTGTTAAAGGTAAGTCCGTTATCGTCTGCCCAACTTTGAAGTCGAGTCAGATCCTCCTGAAGTGCCTGTATATCGTCTTGGTTGCGTATCTCTCTCCAAAGTTTCACGTCGTCGGCAAAAAGTAATAAATCTGACGTTACCTGTTGAGGAAGATCATTTATGTAGATCAAGAAGAGAAGAGGCCCTAGTACTGAGCCCTGGGGGACCCCACTAGGACATTCCATAGCCTGAGATAAAGTGAAATTAACCCTAACCTTAAAGTGTCGATTTTTTAGGTATGAAGTAAGCCAATCGATTAGAGGTGGTTTGATACCTAGTCGTTTGAGCTTGTTGATAAGACATGCATGGTTAACCTTATCAAAAGCTTTTGAGAAATCAAGGTAAATGACATCAACCTTTCCCTTGTGATCGAGGATGCTTGTCCATCTGTCCACCGCAGTCAGCAGGTTGGTTATACAAGAGTAACCCTTCCTGAAACCATGCTGTTGGGGTGAGAAGAAATTTAAGGACAGTAGATAGTCATTTAAACCGTCGCATATCAGGGACTCCATGAGTTTTGAAGGTAATGACAGAAGAGCCACCGGCCGATAACTTGAAGGTTCATTGCGTCGACCACCTTTGAAAATTGGTGTGATGTGAGCCAACTTCCAATTTTCCGGTAATTTGCCTCGGCTAAGCGAGTGTGAAAACATCACGCTAAGCGGCGTTGCCAGGATTGAGGCTGCCTCCCTCAGTATGGCAGGATGAACCATATCCGGGCCAGGAGAAGTGTCTAGTCTTAAGTGCTGCAATTTCCGGAACACCAAGTCAGCGCTTAGGTCCACTTCAGAAAGTCCTGTGGAATTGCAGATGAAACTGTCGTCAGTAAAGTTGATGTCAGCCGGTTGAAATGTTTGAGAGTAATGTGCCGCCAGAAGGTTAGCGGCGTCGCCATCGTTGTTGGTCGGGCCGTTAAGACCTACCAGTTGAGAAACTCCTGTTTTGGCTTGACGAAGAGAGGCTGCATAACGGAATAAGCTTCTAGGGTTAGAGGCGAATTTGTCCATAAGCTTTGTTTGGTACTGAAGCCTGTCTTCTCTTATAGCCTTCGTGCATGTGTTCCTGATATGTTTATATTGCCTATACGCTCCATCGTTTTAGTTCGTTTGTATTCCGCCCAACAGTGCCGTTTGCGGCTTAGCAGGCGAAGGGTACGGTTCTTGATTACTGTAGGTGGCTTGCAGCTTTTGGGAACCGTTTGAGGAACTGAATGGTTTGTAGCACATAAGAGCGTGTGCAGTAAGAAGTCCCAATGACCATCCACATCGAGTTGAGGGTGAACATCCCAAACCACCTGTTGTAGATAGTCATGTAGAGCTGGCACATTCAGCCGTTTAAAATTCCAACGCAAATTATTGTTGGGATACCTTAGCTTAGTTTTGATGACAAAACTGAAGGCTATGACGGCATGATCGCTTTTCCCAGAGGAGCCAGGATTGAGAGGTTGTCGACTAGGAATTCTTCGTTTGTGAATACACAGTCTAAGCGCGATGGTGTCTGACTGTTTCTCCAACGAGTTGCCGACCTCACATTTTCATATAAGCCCAAGTCATCGATGAGGTTGAAGAACCGAGCTTCAATTGGGTTTTCGCCTCCACAATATAATGAGTTTTTATTTGAAAAAATGCATCCGTGGACCGTGTACCTGCTTCAGGTATGAAGCAGATACTCGAGAAAAAACCCGGTGATTTAATGGGTTAGCGGCCTATGTAGTCTGCCTTTTAAGATAGACTTGGCGACCTCGACTTACTTCCGCTACCATACCATAGACCCAAAAGTGACAGAATCCTGACTTATCGTATGTTGGATGAAGAATTTGACAGTGATTTATTATTTTGTCATTTCATTTAGCGCTAGTCAGTTAAGACATCATTCTGAGAAATTTGAAATTTGAATCGAATAGTTTCTTACTGAAGCACTGATATTTTCATGGGTTGTACCATGGAATTCTTTATCGTAGAGTATGTATTGACAATTTCTGAAGGTAAATTACAAACTGCACTAAGATTTAACATTACTAAAAGTCTGGAGGACTGAATGTAGCTGCTCCGTTCATTCTTCGTAACTCAGAAGAAAAGAAACTGAAACAGAAACCTATAACAAGGATTTTCGTAACCTAATAAACATTTTTATTGCTAGTTTTCCTGAGTTGGTCGTTTTAATATCTATCTGGGCCCCATTTTACCGAGCGATAATCATGGAGTAGAGTAAAATGGAACGGATGGTTCGTAATAAAATAATTGAATCCGGTCGTTGGTAAGATTGTAGTGACGAGTCGAGTCGTTGTTGACTATGATCATCCCTAAGAGAAGGTTGCGTACCATATATCAGAAGGCGATCGGCGGTTGTAGCGAGATATATTTGTTGGAGATTTCGTGATATCGAAGGAATACCGAGATCATTCCAAAGGAGTACAAGCGGAATCACTGAGAAAACGTAAGTTCGCGCAAGGTCACAATCAACAGGAGAATGTTTGTCTTTATGCAGTTAAAAAAACCAAGAACAGTAAGACAACACTGGTACAATTGATTATAGTAACAATTTTTTCCATTAAACCAACCACGTTCTCTTGATAAAAGTAGGTCACTACAAAACCACCAAGTTTGAATGCAATATATTCATGGAAGGATAAAAAACGTCACTAATACACCTAGTTAGATGAAAACGACAGACTTTATATTTTTGGTTGGTCACGTCGTCCTCATCTTTTGGCTTTCACCAAGGTCACTGTGAACCATTTGAACCATTTGAACTGTGCGAAATTATTTCGAATTTATGTATGACCTTGGTTTTCATGAGTTCCGTAGATGAGCAGTTTGTGTTTACCATTAGTTGATATCATGTTCTTCTCTATAGGAAGTTTCCAGACCGGGGTTTTGAATCTCCAGAATACGTTGAGGACGATGAATATTCCGACTTTGTTCAGACTTATGAGTCAGTACTTCAGAGAAGAGTTTCTCGTTGGGAAAAGTATTTCTCTACCCTTCCACCCAAAAAGAGTGCGAGATGTATGTCATGAGTTATTTGACCTTTTTGTTTTAGTTAAAAGGTTCTGTCGGAAGGGAATACCGGATCACATTCGCCCAACAGTTTGGATGCATCTTTCTGGAGCTTATGAACGAATGGAAGCTAATCCAGATGCCTACCAAATAGCTGTTTCCAAAGCACCCCCAACACATATTTGGAATGTTATCTTGGCTGGTATGTCTGCCCATATCTCAAGATTGATGTAGAAATTGTTTATATTTGAGCTTCGTTATGTAATTTCTGCATTCACTCAGTAATCTAGTTGTATATCAACCACAACATTACAGTCAAGGTTTATAGTAGTGCTTTTTTCGGTTTTGTTCTGTACAAACTGGACTCGATGAATGTGTTTGTTAATCCTCCACTGTTAGTACCTTAGACATTTACTGTGTTTATGGAGGCGAATATACTGTTGCGAATATCAACATCATCTATCATGCACAGTTTTCTACTCGTCAGTTCTAAAGCTATTTTGGAATAACCTAGTGTAACCAATCACTGTCTTTTAATCCTTTTTATTCGGAAGAATCGCTATTTCCTTTCTGTCTGTTGCAACCAGCCGTAGTTTAATTTACAACTCGTAGTCATGTAACCGTTTACAATAACCTTTACAGTTTAACTTAGGCGAACTGCAACATCCAGTTATTGGGTTTTACGTCTAAGAAACTTTATATCATTTGGACTACGAAGCTTATTGGTATCTGTAAGAATATAGTACAGAAATCTGTCGGTCTGGGTTGTAACACTTAAACGTAGTATTAAAAGAGGACACTTAAAAGGAATAATAAAATAGCTGGAAACAATAATAACAGTGATGGGCACCACTCGTTTAGGAAAGTCAAAATAACAGGAAAAAATCACATTTGAAGTCGGATAACTTTACGAAATTTAACGAGAAAATAAAGTAAATACATCGGTCTGCAAACTGCAAAACTTAAAAAAATTGTTGAAATATACTTGACTTCGTTCTTTATTAACTGGTTCTGAACTCAAGATGTTTCGTTTCATACATCCGATTTTCTCGCTTTTTTCCCAGATGTTCCCCGTACCTTTCCAGAAAACAAACATTTTCAAGATCCAGATGGCCCCAGTAGTAAGCTGGTATCGTTAAAAAGAGTATTGTCTGCCTTTGCAGTTCATTTTCCAAAGATCGGTTATTGCCAAGTACGCTTTTTGTAACGATTTTTATTAGCTACTTCATTAGTTTACTTTTCGTATACTTATTAATACTTCCAGATTCCCCATGATCCTACTAATGATCACTCTCGGATGTATTGGTATTATTTGCAATATTAGTAAACAGTCCAAAAGTGAAACGACGCGTCAGTTTACGAAATCGTGTTATTTAGTCATTATTAGATAACTGATAATCCAAATGAATGCACTACTCAGTCTGCTGACGATAGATGTTTTTCATAAAATTTTAGACATATGTGGTAAGATTGTTAAATACTGAATTCGGTGAATAAAACACAAAGATGAAATCTTGTTACAAAATTGTCTATATTTTATTACCAAGTTCTTTTACTTTTCCGAAAACATATCTCGTGTTCACCTAGCTTCTAATTTGTTACGGCCAATCAAAGTTTACTGAAATTGTGTATATCACACGCATCCACGTATCATTCTGGTTTTTGAATGTTTAGGCATGAATAAGTTGCCAGTATTTGACCATAAACTTTAACATATTAACCCTTGTATCGTAGAATAACGGAGTGAGAAATGTCGACGTTAGTCGTAGGGTAGTAGGTAGAGATGGCAAACGGGTTGGTGAGTCTGTGAATCTTCATTGATGAAGGTAGTTAAGGTGTCCTTTACACATGTTTAGTAACTCCCTACCACAGCAACGATCGCCGACTAAATTAGAAAAGGCCTGAAAACGTCCTATGGTTTCCCTAACCAAGACTTGGCACGGGTCATTGTTGATGAGAAACGTATGGGGATGAAATTCTTGATCAGAGTTTGTATAATAATGTCATTCTGTAATTGGAGATTTTATCCATTTATTTAACACACAAACATTGGTACAGGGAGGCACCAAATAGATATGTGCCACATTAATCATTCGATTTGTGTGAGGGTTAGGGTACTGTCTGAATGCCCAAAATGAAGCAGGTGGTTTTCTTAGGGGGCCACACCCCGAGCCTTTGACCTAAAGGTCCGATTCATAGGGCAGTAGAGCAACATTAAGAGATGCAGTCACATGGTAGCCGGTGAACAACCATTGGTTCGTCCTCCATTTATTCCATCAGGATCCAGGAGCCCATGTGCACCGTTGATTTTAAATCAAGGTTTTCCAACTCCCCTATATGGATCCTCCATATCCACCAACCTGTTTAAAGCGCCGGATATTCGCTTCTCAATTTCGTAAACAACAAACCCATTACAATAAGGCATTGAGTAGGACTTCGCTGTCAGTGGTTTTATGCACGTTGTCATATGAGAGCATTTCGAGAGGGAGAGTTGACTCTCCCCACTCTCGGCCCCACCACTTAGGAGCCAAAATTATTTTCATTTAGATCAGGGTTTAGTCCACTGGACTGTAATATTTGTACGCATATAAAAATCCTAAATCAAGCAAAACAGTTTATTGGTCAACTATGACGGCGAAATAAATTTCACACTTTCGTTTCTTTGCCTTGGATCTTGTTAATTTCATCTCACTGTATTCATGTGTTGTGGAGAATTTTGTTGATGAATATTTCTGGTAGTTTTTACTTTGTTTATAGCTGACTGACTATACACATACAATTCCCTATGGTTAAGGTAGATTTTGTTTTGTTTGACCTTTCGTGGTGAACTATTGAGTGGTTGAGTATTTTGGGTAGCGCTAAATAATAAGAGAATTTGCAATTGTATAAATTGACTCAACTTTGTCTGACACATAACTCAATCTCTAGTAGATTAGGTAAATAAAGATGCCAAAAATGGAAATATGATATGATTACTGGTTTGTTTGTTTGTTTATACAATGATTCAAATTGAGTTATAAACCTACAAACATCCAGCCAACATTTATTTCACTTTGCTTTATTAGTTTACAAATGGATATAATAGCTTATATTTAATTGAAGTACTTCAGAAATTTCATCATAAGTAAACAAGCAATACAGTATTTAAAGCAATTATTCCGTTTTATAAATTCCGATAGAAAAATGAGAAGATGGAGTTGATCTGAAACAGTTTGATGTGAGAACTCCCGTATACTTAAACATAGAATATAGATAAATAGAATAATATATTTGTAATATACCAATGGGTAGAAAAATGAGATTTTCTGACGTTTTGTGACTTAGTGTAAGCCACTTCTTCAGAGAATAAATAACCAAATAAAATTAATCCACGTTTAAATAGTACAAAGGAACAACGCAATAATATTATGATGCGATCAATCTTACTGCTCTCAATAGAAAAGAAGGCCTCACTATCCATTCGACTTGGAATATCTATCCAAGCTACCATGTCTGATATTATTCACATTTCACACTATTATCGTACATTACAGATTAAACTCTATGCTTTCTTATCAAAAAGGTAACATCTTTTTCATCCCTGACCTTGCACAGATGTCGCTTATAAATCACCTTGACCGGAATGACATAACATCGACTTGCTCAGACCTGTCTTTTGATTGATCGCATCATAATATTATTGCGTTGTTCCTTTGTACTATTTAAACGTGGATTAATTTTTATTTGGTTATTTATTCTCTGAAGAAGTGGCTTACACTAAGTCACAAAACGTCAGAAAATCTTATTTTTCTACCCATTGGTATATTACAAATATATTATTTTATTTATCTATATTCTATGTTTAAGTATATGGGAGTTCTCACATCAAACTGTTTCAGATCAACTCCATCTTCTCATTTTTCTATCGAAATTTATAAAACGGAATAATTGCTTTAAATACTGTATTGCTTGTTTTCTTATGATGAAATTTCTGAAGTACTTCAATTAAATATACGCTATTGTATCCATTTGTAAACTAATAAAGCAAAGTGAAATATATGTTGTCAGTCAGTCAGTAACAACGTAGAACTTCGTACGTACGTACATCAGTTCGAGTGCCACACCACATTAGCACAGAGATGCAGTGGTCGATTCAAATCCCGTAGTGGTAGAGGTAATAAGAGTATAAGCAGTAATCGGAAGATTAGGGTTGTACGTTTTTAACTCAATTTGAATTATTGTATAAACAAACAAACAAAGCAGTATAATGTCCAAATCGCTTTTAATTATAACAAACACTACTTTCTTAAGATCCCTTTCTAAACTACTGGTAGATTTAAACTGCAGATACATATAAATTAGTTTTTAATTAATGCTAGAAATTATCGTTTTCTCGTTTAGTTCCTTTTTTCTTGAAGTCTATGTGTATTTGAAATCTTTTTACAGCAATGAACGGTTTCTCTTTTGATACACGTACACATATATCCCGATTTATTACCCTATTCTTGTTTTCACTTGTAAATCTAAGGTTTAACGTGCCTTTAAAATCTAACCAGTCACCAGTGATATATTTAAGTTTCTGCAAACTAGGAATGTATTATGTATTTAAAATTGTCTCTGAGTCATAGAGTCATGTATTAATCATAAGTAGACTATGGTATTTTGTAATACAACGGATGCCACATTAAATGAAATTATAAATATAATTTGAAGACTATGTCATTTTCATTTGCTTCTACTTCTTCACTTTCTCTCTTCCATTTGTATTTCTTTTTTAAAATAGGGTATGAATTATATAGCAGCTGTACTCCTACTCGTTCTTGATTGTCCACCAAATGAGAGAGAAGTAAAAGCGTTTTGGTTGTTGGATGCATTGATTAATCACATTTTACCAAAATACTATTCTTCTGATATGTTAGCTGTACGTGTTGACTGTATGGTATTCAATCAGTTGTTGAAGTAAGTAAAAAGAATTGTGTTGGTCAGTTCCTTGAATTTTTCCTCTTTTTTGACATGCATCTGGCGAAGTTATCAGAAATGTGATGGGTAATCTATTGGTCTAGAAAATCCTTATCAAACTATTAGTAATTGGGCGGTTAACTGATTGCTATGAAAGAAAAAACAAAGCGAATTATGCCCTACTTAGTTAATTGTCTTGTGGGCAGTTGTATAGAATATGGTTTTCTCAATGCCAAGGAATTCACATCCATTCGAAAGCCTTTGAAATACTGTCTCATCCTAGTCCTATCATCTTGACACAAAAAAGGATATATTAATAAAAACCTGTCTGTAAAACCAAATTTTATGCGTTTTTGTACATTCTGAATGAAACAAAATAGTCAAGGTAAACATGACTATTGATTACTGTAATTAATGAGTCATAAACATCTGATAAGAAGTATTAGTTCGAGAAATGCATTTTTTAGATACTATCCTCTAGTAGGTAAAACAATAAAGTTAACCGTATTACTAAGCAGAGATGGATTGGTGGCTAACAATGGAACCCCAGCACTGACGTCTCATTCTATTTGCTACCTGTCAGCCGGATGTACCTGCATCACAGCATTGATGCTCACCCTGGGACTCGAGCCCTGCATACTTAGCCTTTATTTTATTATTTTATTTGAACACATAAATATTGGTACAAGAGAGCGCCAATATATATGCGCCACACAAAACAATGAAAATTCGAAGAGAAATAGAAAGAGAAAAAAAAAACTAGGGAACGCAAAAGAAAAAGAGAACAATGACGAAGAGATTGGAGTAAGGTAGTGTGGTAGTAACGACGGGACGAAAAGGTACAATCAGAAGAAATCTTTCAGGTAAAGGAGACACAACCACTTTTTAGAAAGAAAGTAAAAGAAGGTTACAGCAGGATCGCCACTGGCTTCTATTCTGAGCCATATCTGATAACGTCTCTAGCCACTGTGTAGCACCATCTCTCGGACCCCAACCAGGGAGTCGTGAAGGACCAACACAAGCCAGTCCTTTGCAGCTTTCTTTCATGCCACGACACCATGTCATGCACTGACCACCTCTCCGCCTCATCCAACCAGTCCCAGAGTCGGCAAATAATGCACGACGTGGAATTCTCTGGGACGACATTCGGAGAACATGTCCAAGCCACCGAAGTCGGTGTTTCAAGATGGTGACACCGATTGAGTTATCATCTCTGTGCCCGAACACACGATGCCGAACCTCTGCATTACTGACATGGTGTTGCCACTGAATGTCAGCAATCCTTCGGAGACAGCGATGATCGAACACAGAGAGTCGTCTAACGTCCTCAACTCGGAGAGGCCAGGTTTCACAAGCATAGAGCAAAACTGCTCTCACCGACGCGTTGTAGATCCGACCTTTTACAGCCAGACTAACATCACTTAGCCTAAAAGCATATCGCGTTATCCACTTAGTAGTTGCTGAGTCCAGATAGCTACTGGCATGTGAAATGTAAATTTTAATTCATATATTAGTTGTTTGGACCTTCTGATTGATCTGTCTATTATTGGCGTATGTATATCCTGTGCCGATCGTCTCAATATTGTCAGTAGGTCACAAACATTTTAAGCAGAGATCGATGGAGTGAACATCACTGCTTAAAATGTTTATGACTTACTGACAATATCGATATAATCCGCACAGGATATACATATGCTAATAATAGACAGATCAATCGCAGTCCTAAACATCAATCACAAGATCCGAACAACCAATATATGTGAATTAAAATGAGCTGTGTTACTGTTTCACTTCATTAGGGCATCGAAATGCAGTATTGGAAGGAATAAAACAAAAGTTAATAAACTAATAATTGCATTATGTTGGTTAAAAATACAAAGCCATAAAGCAAAATTAACTCGAATAGGTCATGTTTCATAAATGTTTGGTAGAGTTTTTATCTGTAGATCCATTGGACACTGAATGCTCTACTGTCATAAATATAATGATAACATTAAAATGATTATAGACTAGTATATGTTATATATTGGTTTTAATTATTCAAAGATCAATTTCGCTTGTCACATCAGTAGTTATGGTAAGAACCAATGGGAAGTAAGAAATCGCTTAATAATTGTTTTAAATCAGTCAGTAAACAGTGGTATCAATTATTGGTATAGATCAACTCATACTTTTTCCCGTTTACTACATCAATTTACTTTAATCTGTAACACAAAAAATACTTAATAATACAAGCCCTTGATTTGTTATTCGTGAAGTAATAAGATCCAGTTCAATTTCTTTAACCATGGTGTATAAAAAGTTAGGGTAGTTTCATTAGCTTGCCCATTTTTAGATTGTCCTCTAAAACCCTATTTATAAATCTGCATTAGTTTGATGTGTTATTATTTATTTAGTTCAGTGCATTCATTCGAAATGACCCGATACTGTAAACATTACTCCATTCTAAGAAAGCTTGGCTTCTGTTGTGTGAATTCATCTAAGACTGTCTCTCTTCTGTTAGCTCGCTGCATTAGGCAGGATAGTTTTAGCATATGTATTAAGTACCTTAACTATTATGATTAAAGATTTGTGAATTCCATTATCGTGACTGCTTTTGATATCATGTCGCTGGCTAAAATGTTCTGTATTTATTTATTTAAACACATAAACATTGGTACAATGAGGCACCAAATAGATATGCGCCACATAGATCATTCTATTTGTGCGAGGGCTGGGATATTGCCCGAGTGCCCACACTGAGACAGATGGTTTTCTTAGGGGGCCACACCCGAAGCCCTAGACCTAAAGGTCTAATCCACAAGACAATAGAGCAACGTAAGGAGATGCATTCCTATGGTATCCGGTGAACAACAATTGGTTCACACGCCATTTTTTACCTCAGGATCCAGGAGCCCATGTGCACCATTGGTTTGGAACGAGGGTTTTCCAAGCCCCCTAGGTGGATCCTCCGTGTCCACCAACCCGGTTAAAGCGCCGGACATTCACTTTTCGTCATTTCAATTTCGTAAACAATAGCGTGGCCGCGAGAAGGCATTGAGTAGGACTTCCTTGTCAGCGGTTGTATGCACATTGTCATGTGAGAGCGTTTCGATAGGGAGAGTTGACTCTCCCACTCTCGGCCGTACCAGGACATTTGGGGCGCTAATATGTTCTCTGTAATGTGTGTATATTAGATTCCAATTATTAAACAACTCTTTATATTTACTATTAATACATGATTGGTTAATCATAAATTTTTTATAGCTTTCTTCTATGTATACATTCTTTTCTTTATGTAGAGATAAAATTCCCACAGTTCATAAAATAATCATGAATTCAGGTATCACTTGTACATTACTTGCAACAAAATGGTTTATATGCTTATTTGCTGATGTATTGCCAATTGAGGTAATGCAGTAATACTTATTTATCATTGAGTGTTATTAAACGTGTTTTCTGGTCTGTTGTTCACAAGATTATTTATTCTACTTATGATTATATAAATATACCTATATTGTATATCACTTTTCAATTGAAACTAATAGTAATTGAATATCCCAGATTATCAAATAATTTTGTTGATCAAATCTCAAAGTGATTGGAACCTGCCATCATCTCTTGATTTTCACAATTCACTGATCACTGGGTGGTGATCAATGTCATGTTTTAGGTCCTTCTTAGTGCAGATCGAATGTTATCGACCATCATTACATCAAATGCTGTTTCATTAGTAACATCGTCCTTTTAGTTTGTAAGGTGTTTTTATTGAACCGTGAAGGAATTATAGAAAGCATAATTTGAAATTTCTATAGACATATTATTGTTCAGCTTTTTGGAAAAAAAGCAAATTGAATAGGTATAATTACATTGATCATTGTGTTTGAAGATGTGAACCTAAATTCTATATATGTTTATAGTCGTTTAGTGTTTATTTCCTAAATAATAAATAGAAATTGTGTACTAGATGCATATATTTCGACAAAGTATAACTTTAGTGTTTTTTTTAAGGTCAAAGGTATACTTATTGTCCATTATCATTTTGGGGAAGCACAGTAAACAAGAGGTTCATACCATTATATATCTGATAATCAAAAACAAATAATAAAGTCTGCTAAGACGTTGTTTAGCAGTTATATTAACTTATTTGTTCTTTAACTTCATTGGAGACTGGAAATTGAACAAAACAACACTGATTTTCACTTAGTAACCGGTCTATATGTTTTACTCTGAGTTTAAACATATCCCAACAGTAATTTTACAACTCACAAATCATTTACTGGTTCTTGTATTCAACTTTAGGTCTCATTGTTTTATATCAGAATTAGCAATACTGTCTGATTCATTAAGCTGAAATAAAAAAGGATCCTCAACAGTGGTTATTATCAAAGATCTAACCTAAGGTTTTCAGTTCTCATGACAAGTGGCTCGATTTCTGGCTAGATCATTGATGATCATTCTCGAGTCCGGTACGAAAATGAAAAATCTACCCATCGGTCCCTAGCTTCCAGTCGTCTTCTGTTTGATCATGTAAAGCGGTGGCTTAGTGGTTAAAGCGTTTGACTTTCAGCCACTAAGTCTAACGTTCGAGGCCCACTCCATCTACTTCGGTTTGGGCAGCTGGGTATTATCATTAGCTCTCATACTTAGGATGTGGCTCATACCCAGTACCTAGAGAATGAGTTAATTTAAATTTAAATAAAATCTGAAATTCGCTCGTGATGGAAATCAGCTATAAACTGAAATAGTCTCTAAGAACAATTTCGACAAATTAGTTGTATTCGGATCTGTCAAACTGACAGAAAGCTAGTTTCGTTAATCTTTATGCCTGTGTCTAACATTTTAACACATCCTTTTGAATTATATATATATATCCTTGGGTGGTATTCATGTTTATGAGCGACCATTTAATGTACAGTTTTTGCATTATTTCATTTCTCCCATCATTGTCACGCTCAATTTTAGTTCAATAAATGTATCTATGGATTAACTCATGCTACACTTCAAAATACCGTTCGAAATTCGTATGACTTTCGATACAAGTTAATACAAACTAAACAACAATCTAAATTTATTGATCAGTGAATAAACCTTTTTTTTAAATTTCGAAATAGGATTTTCTAACTCTTTTAATCAGATTTCCGATTAGCGGATTAATTATTAAAACACTTGCTTTTCGATTAAGAAATCTCTGGTTTTTAAGCGTCACTCTATTTCAGTAGCCTGGGTAATATTACTAATCCTTGCACAATGTGGCTCAAAATCAAGCACTTAAACTTGGGCCTGTTGAATGGTTGATTTACTGACGTACATGCTAAATACAGATTCCTATACTTAATTTTGAGCCACACTTTAGTTGTGTGAGGAGACTGTCGATTCGAAGTATACAGCTGAGTTTAAACTGTGTAAACCATTGGGCACCGTCGTAGTGTTTTCAACGCTAAGCACTCTTCATGAGACCGAATGGTTCCGCGTTTGAACCCTGGTGGAATCATGAATGCTAACTTCCGAGGAGTCCAATAGTAAGACAAAACAACTATCCAGCGCTTTCTTGTTTTCTTTGGTTACTGAATGAAGTTCGTCAGTCCATGATATAAGCTACATAACTGGACGGTAGTTTGCAACTGATTAGCTGTATTCATTACTAAGGACTCCTGGACCACAAAATAAAATGGCTGTCCAGTTGCTCCTGTTTTAACTGTTAGTCCTTGATAAAGATTCCTTGATTTTGTTGTTAACCCTTGTATATCTTAATTGATGGTAATGGCTTACATAGTCAGCATTTTCACAACAAGTATACGCCTTTCATCGCTCTCATACACCGTGGGTTTGTTCAAAGCAATCCTTGCGTTTTTTGGAACAACTGAGTGAACAGTGTTGAAGTTAGTTATAGGACACTAGAAAAAGGTAGTAAATTGGTTGATTGGTTGCGGTTCGCGTGATAACCACGGTCAGTTGTTGGAAACTCTGAAGGCACGACTCAGAATCGTCGGAAATGGCACATGCGTTTTGCCCTTTGTCCTCTTGATCTTGTATTTTAGTATTCCTTTTATACATGCCTTTATATATTGTCTTTTTGAAATATATTCTTAACTTTTCCCATTGTCATTAGTATTACATTATTTCGATCCACTATCCTATTCATCCTGTTAATTTTACATCGTCATGCTAATATATTATGGCAACTATCTCTAGCTCTATGATGATGACTATCTGACATGCCATTAAAACTCGTATTTCCAAAAAAGGATGCCTTCCTCTGATATTATAAGCAGTTTAAATACTATTCCAAACCTTAAATGTTAATGTTAATGACTTCATTTTGAGCTATTCAGCTAATACTTGTCGGTTAACTAGAGAGGTGAATCTAAGTAGCGTTGTAAAAACGGTACTGTTTACCAGTTTCTTCATCGAAACAATTCAGATTTGGAAACACGTGTTGTATAGTGATTAGCTTAATAGCCTGGTATTTCTATTCTGCTTCACCTAATTTGATCAAGACACTTTTATAGTATACTGATCGGTCGCTTGGTAATAATATCCCATGTACTTGATGCTGACTAAATTCTATGGACCAAATTTGATATGTGGTGATCAAGCTAATTGACTTCATTTAATTTGATGTTAGGTTTTTTGATGTAATCGTTAGATCATCCGTGACCTTAAATGCCTCAGACACTCTCATCTTACTGATGAGTGTAGACATGCTTAATAAAACCCATATTTAACATTGCTCCCTGTTGAATTCAATACTCAGTTAATCTTCTTTGGTATACCAAAAAGTTATTTTCGTTTCTGCTATTCTTTATGCACCATAGACAACAATTCGTGTTTTCGACTGTTTATTCTATGAAGGGGATAAAGTACTCTTTCGTGTATGTCTATCATTGGTCAGATTACATTATAAAGATTTAATTCAATGCAATGAATTTCCTATCCTGATTACAGCATTTCGTAACATGTGCAAAGATAAACAAACACTATACTGTCACCAGTTTATTGAAGTAAGTTAATGTTTGTTTGCATTTATTTTCTGGATACTCCCTCGTTGTTGTTGAAAGCAAACCTTGAAGAATCTATAAAATCTGACGTCTTAAGTGACCTCATAAACACAGATATGTTGCGTAGAATACACGTATAAATGTCTTTAATTATAATATTTCCATAGACCATTTTCAAATTAAATTAACATTTGGTTAGACTATTTTCAACATTAACTACGATACTCTGTCAATTATATAAGTGCCACTTGTTTTGCATTAGTTCATCGTCAGTCAGTTACAACGTAGGACCAGACATCAGTCCAAGTTGTCATACCTCATTAGCACAGCAAGATGAAAACCGGATTCATAAAAGCAATTAACTCAGTAGTGCAATATATAAAGGAAAGATTTCATTTAAGGATATAATACAGAAAGAAAGAATTAGTTCGTAGAAAGATATGAAATAATTTTAATCTCATAATTTAAAGGAAGACAGCGTGTTCACACCTACATCATTGTGGTCGATTTTTAGTCGTGTCACCCAGAGTCCAACCATTGGTTATGATGGTCACGCGAACCCCAACCAAGTAGTCTGCATCTACCAACATGGCTCAAACCAGAAGTTAGTTACTTCAACGACTGATGCCACGTTTTGGTTTGGCCGCCCCTAACTTTGTTCCAACTATCCGCAACACTAGTCAGCATTGCATGTCGTCGTAATCGGTGTTCAGGCATACGTAACACGTGTCCCAACTATCTCAGTCTATGAAGATTCACAACCTCATCGACTGATTTGTCATCATTCCTTAATACCTTGTGTCAAACCTAACTGTTACTTACCCGGTGATCCCAGCAGATGCCAGCAATATTTCTAAGGTATCTGTGGTCAAATACTAGTAACGAGTATCTTCTACTCTTAATGGCCACGTTTCGCAGCCGTAAAGTAGAACAGAGCGAACTGCTGCTCAGTATAGTTCATTGTAATATACAATTATTTTGCTCGTAATATTGATTCTGTATACACATATATGCAAATTAGTCTAAAAATCAAATATTTTACTTGAAAAAAAGTTTCCAGATCATTTCAGTCAATCACCAACAGAATTTAATCAATCTGCTGTTTTTTAAGCGTCTATCCAGGTTGTTTTCAGCTTGCAGATCTATTAGTTCGAATTTTTTTTAAAAACACAGCATGATTGGTTGCCTTAATGTTGTAAAACATATTACAGCCTTTTATTAATCTGTTTCCAATGCTTTTAAACTTTCAAAATGTCATGCAAATCTATTTTCTATCACTTAAATCTGACAACTATATTTCTGATTATATTCTAGTGTAATCAGTTATATTATTTTATGTCGTGAAATGACTATATATATATCCTTCATTCTGTTTAGACGACAGACTGTGTTGGATTTTAAAATCCGTTTTTTTATTTATTTATTCATTTAAACACATAAATATTGGTACAAGGGGGCACAAAATACATATGCGCCACACAAATCTCATTTGATTTGTCTGATGGCTGTGATGCTGGCCGGGTGCCCAAACCGAAGCAGGTGATTTTCCCAGGGGGCCACGCCTGGAGCCTTTGACCTTAGGGTCTGATGCACAAGACAGTGGAGTAACGTAACGAGATGCAGTCCTATGTTAGCCGGTGACCAACATTAGGTTCATATGCCATTTATTTACTTAGAATCCTGTAGTTCATGTGCACCATTGGTTTGGAACCAGGGTATTCCAACTCCCCTAGGTCGACTCTGCATATCCACCAACCCGGTTGAAGTGCCAGACATTCTCTTTTCATCCTCTCAATTTCGTAAGCAACATCCCCGCCACGAGAAGGCAACTAGTAGAACTTCTCTGACAGAGGTTATATACGCATGGCCATGTGACAACATTTCGAGATGGAGAACGGACTCTCCCCACTCTCGGTCGTACCAGGCATTTGGGGGCCCGTTTTTCTACGACTGTGACACATAGTACTCATGTTTCTGTAATATCAATTCAAGGTATACTTTTCATGTATAGAATGCAAAGAAAATCTCTCAGGTCATAGTTTAACCGCTTCGAATAGTCGGTGTATTTACTAACTCTGATATTTTTATTATGTAAGTAAACTAGTGAATCGGTATAGTTCAGAAATAGCGTCAATTTTTAAATAATACTCACTTTTTGTATTTTACTTTAACTGATAAATGATACTGACACTCGATTGTCGTTTATGGGATATTTTAGATCAGAGATAAATTAGTTATTTATTTGAGCACATAAATATTGGTACAAGGGGGCATCAAATTTATACGCACCACAGAAAACAATGAGAATGGGAAGAGAGAAAAGGTGAGATGCGTATAAAAAAAAGAAGAACAATAATGACCACAGATCAGTGTATAGAAGTGTAGTAATAGTGATAGTAATGGGGGAAACGGAAAGGTACAACCAAAAAGAATCCCTTCAGTTAGGGGAGTTACAACCACTTTTTATGAGGAAAGTAAAAGTTACAGCAGGATCGCCACTGGCTTCTATTCTGAGCCATATCTGATAACGTCTCTAGCCACTGTGTCGCACCATCTCTCAGACCCCAACCAGGGAGTCGTGAAGGACCAACACAAGCCAGTCCTTTGCAGCTTTCTTTCATGCCACAACACCATTTCATGCACTGACCACTTCTCCGCTTCTTCCAACTAGTCCCAGAGTCGACAAATAATGCACGACGTGGAATTCTCTGGGACGACATTCGTAGAACATGTCCAAGCCACCGAAGTCGATGTTTCAAGATGTTGACACCAATTGAATTATCGTCTCTGCTCACTATTACTTATCAAGGTGTTATGTGTCTTTATAAGAATTAATACTTTTCTACTCCTAAGATTTATTGTTGTTAAGTCATAGTGATAAAAATAATCAAGATAAATCTGTAAATTACGACAACACAGTCGTTGGTAACAAACAACCAAATGTCAATGTAACAATCCAACTGTTTAAACCATAACTGGTGAAATCTTCCCATGAATAACATCTACCCTACCGTTTCAGTCAATCATCATTAACCAAGAGCTTGGTATAAATGTACATTAATCTAAGTTGTCATATCGTATTGTGACAACGAGATAAAATTAATAAAATAAATCTCAGTAGTCAAAATAATCATAGTAACAGTGAATCATCACTAAATTAACTACATCATAGAATCATTAGCTTATTGATAAACATCTTTGGATCTTTTATTATTCTTTTACAAATTCTAAATTATTTTAATTCATCTAGTGCATACAGAATTATGTACTAAGGTTTGATTCATACTTTGTTTAAGGACCGACGATACAAGATAGATTGGAATTTAAACTTACGATTTACTGGTTAGAAATCAAAATAACTTAATCACTAAGCCTCAGTCAATTCAGCTTTAAAACTTGATGCATTTAACATTGTTTCAGATAACAGGATATTATCACTAAGTTCCTTCAAAATATACAAAGTATATAACTGAAAATTAAACTATATGAGCTTGTTGATTTGCATTGAATTATTCAATAATTCATCAACCTAATTATTGTATTGTTCAGATTCATTTTATCATATGCCACTGAAAGTTTCATTGAATTGTTTACATCATTCTGATAAACAAACAGTCAAGATAATAAATAAAACAAATGTCAATTCAATTGATGTAAACAGATTCTAATCATTGGTTACTTAGTAGTCTGGTATATATCTCTGTTTATTAACTTTCTAGCGAGATTAGAAACTTTCTCGGTTTAACCTATCACAAAGAGAAGAGGACATATTTTGTTAAGATTTGACAAATTACCGATTGCTTACCGTCCAACCTTTAAACAGCCGTGCTGCCATGATATCATGTTTTATGAAATTGAGAGGACGAGAAGCGAATGTCCGGCTCTTCAACCGGGTTGGTGGATATGGAGGATACACCTAGGGGAGTTGAAAAACCCTAATTCCAAACCAATGGTGCTCATGGGCTTCAGGATCTCAAGGAAACAAATGGCGTATGAACCAATTGTTGTTCATCAGTTACCATAGGACTGCATCCTCTAACGTTGTTCCTCTGCCTTTTGGATTAGACCTTCAGATCGAAGGCTCCAGGCGTGGCTTCCTAAGAAAATTACCTGCTCCGATCTGGGCACCACATACAAATCAAGTGACTTGTGTTGCGCATATGTATTCGGTGCCTCTTTGCACCGACATTCATATCTTCAAATAAATAAATAATAAATAATTTTTTTAGAAGGATGACTGATTTTCATCGATCATACTGTCGATCAGTTGATTTCTCAAATGATTCTTAACACAATTTAAATTCTTGTCCAGTAGGGAATGATGGATATTTATAGGCTAGAATCTACAGATTTGAAACATTAGATTGTGATTTCCTACTCTAAATCATTGTCGAGTACATAACTTAAAGTTATACTTTAAGTAGGAGGGTTCCTGCAACTGTAGCTAGTGGAGTTGGGTTCGAACTGAAGACGTAATATTTATTAGTTGAATAGTTTTAATCAATAGGTTTATTTATTATTTATTTAGTACATGCAAAATTTGGTAAAACTGGGCACCAAAAGAAATATGCACCACACAAATTAAAAATGAATGAATCTTGAAGGAGTATCATCAAGGACAGATAAATGAATAAAAATAGGGGGAAAAGAATCATATTAATAAGAGCAGTTCAGTTAAAATACAAACAAATTTATTTTTAGTTAGGCTAGTTCCGTAATTTTTTGTCGATAAGACTGAGGAACACTACAACAAATCGCCATTTATTCCTATTCTAAGCACTGTTTAATAACTTGTTGATCCACTGAGTTTCAACATCTCTAGAACTCAAATTACGCAGTCCTGTACAACCTTTCATGCCACGATATCATGACATAAACTGACCACATCTCCACTTTTTCAACCTCTTGCAATATAGAATTAGCTGAAATGCCATTCGCAACTCACGTCCAAGCCATCAAAGTCAATGTTTTAATATAGTGATAGCCATCATCAATGATCCTAAACACACATTGCCAAACGTCAGTTTTACTAAGACCGTGTTGCCACTGAATGTCACCAATCGTTTGGCGACAACATTTGTCAAATACACAGAGACCCTGAGGGGCCAAATTTCTTCATATTATAGTGGAATCGCCCTCACCGAAGCGTTGTAGATCCTACCTTTTTATAGTTAGAATACCATCGTTGACAGTGCCAAATATAGTCCAGATTGGGATAAGCCACTCTGGTTCTCACCATACGTAGATTGATCCCATCAGTGAGGCCACAACCAAACTACCCAGATACACTAACGTTTCGACTATTTCTAACAGATCACAAAGGGTATCACTAAATTAACATTCCAGATTTAATATTCTGTTGATGATCATTACATAGTGGTCATCCTATACATCAACATAATCATTCATGTAATATAATTAATTCCCCATAGTTTCCACATGAACTTGTCACCATGTGCCTCCAGTATATAATTTCGATAAACAGTTTATGATTATGATGAAGCTGACGTTGTCTACATACGTCCACTTGTCGTATGAAAACAGTTGTGTTAAAGTTTAAATAGACGATTATAAGAATAAACTTTTTCAACTTTTCAGTTGCTTTCTTCTTACTTCAAAAGTGGTTAACATCAACTTACTTACGCCTGTTACTCCTCGAGAAGGAGCATAGGCGGCTCACCAGCATTCTCCATTCAACCCAGGGCAATCCTTTCCAGTTGTTATTCATCCTTATTATTATTAATAACAGGAACTACCTCATATTTATTGTTATAGCGGCCGTAGTACGAAAATTAAAAGCGCAACTCTTTCATGCGTTGGTTTTAAGAGACAAATTTCCAAGCAATTTACAGACATATATTATCCTTTGAGTTTACGCTATTGATTATATCACCCAAAAAAATTTCGTACAAATCTGAAGGCATGATTGTAAAATACGCAGAATATTGATCGCAAATCGGTTCCTTTCATAATGGGTTTGTTTCGTGGTCATTAATCAAAAATCGTCACATAACTTCGCCACTAAATAATCTCTATCCTCAAGCGCTTCAGCATTGTTTATTTGGTATTCCATTATCCTGATTTCCCCGAAATCGGAAAAAGCAGTATTATTGGTGGTACTATTCTATTACCTAACCTAATCCTTTCCCCTCTGTACCTCAACCGGCTAAATCTTCTACTACGCTCCCCCAAATTCTCCCTTCTACTGTGAATTCGTCAGTATCTTCCGTAACTTGTCGATTTACCATATAAAAATTCGTCTACAAAAATGCGATGAAAGTGTGAAATTTGTGAGACAGTGTTCAGAGTAGTTTAGACAATGAATTGAACTATGCCACTGATATTGACTATCCTCCATGTCACCCAACTTTCATAATTATTGATAATGAGTATTACAAAGACTCTAATCAAGAAGACTAAAACTCCTCTACTTAGCTGAAACTGATGGTTACTAACTTTTTGTTCTGATAACACATCTTGATTTCGTCATCTACTAAATTTGTTTAACTCATTTTCGCCTAGCTAGCTTTACCTATCGAGATAAACTATGATTATGTTTGCGTAATACCAATTCAAATTCAATCACTCAGTGATTTATAGCTTCATCAATCTGCTTTGATTGATATTCACTAGTTGATTAAGTAGGACGTAAACTGCTGCATAATTAATCCATCTTTTTGTTTTCGATATTCAATATACAACATTGATATCGTAGCTCAATACATCGTATAGTTGAAAGTTGAATCTCTGGATTAATCATTTATAGACGTGTTAACACGTGGAGTTTTATATACTACTTACCTTCCACATTAAGAGTTCTAAAGATCCAGGGACACATTTTTTTAAAGATTCCATAGATTATTTAACTTAGGGAAAACTCGTTTGGCAAATCTTATTCATTATAATTAACATAATGTTTATAAAGACATAATAGAAATCTATTCCATATATAGATTGACCAATATTTCTTACCATTTCTTTATTAAATTGATTTATTCTGGTGGGAAATTATTTACCATTTATTTCCTAACGTATTAAGTGTTAATAAGAAAGAAAAGTGTACCGATTTAATAATTGAATTCATGAGTCAATTGAAGCTAGATCACCCTGGAGAACTGGAAAGCACTAAATGGCCGTTTCATCCTAGTATGGGATTCGTAAGCAGTGTACATCCATGATATCTCCTCGTGAGATTCGAACTCAGGACCTATCAGTTTCGCGTGCGAACGCCTAATCTGTAGACCCCTGAGCCGGCTGACATCCAACTGTGTTAATGTTTAACCTCAACCAATCTACGAAAATGCGTGACCATCTTCCATTGTACTGAAGTAGATATCTGTCTCGATCCAACACGAATTAGCTCCACTGGTCAAAACCTCTCACTAGAATTATTTGAATAACTTTAGTAGTCTGTTCTGTTTTTTTATTAGTGTTTAATCTATGAATCTATCTTAACTAACATTTATATTATAAGAATCGGACGAAACATCCATTCAGTGCTTCCAGTTTTCCATAATCGTTTAGCTTCAATATTGACTCAATGATGTCAACTATTGAAATATTAGAATCATATATTATTTTATGTCATTCTATATGAATAAGTTACTCAAGATTAGCAATTATAACACTTGATTTCAATCTTATTTTTAAAAATTCTGATCAGATCAATAATGAATATTCATTCCAGATAATGTGAACCATGTTTAGGCCAGAACGAGTCCTCTTTTTCTTTTTCTTTTCTTTTTTTTTAATATTTAGTCAATGTTTCGTTCACATGGTTCATTGCCCAAATCAAAAATTGCTAAACTTCGTAGTCAATTTACACAACAAATAGAAAATGATACTGGTGATCCAGAATAATTTGTATGTATTATTCAATATTAAATGAATAGTTTAGAAGATATTTTTTATTGTTTTCCTATCTATTCACACTCTTTTCATGATATACATTCGGCTTGTTCAACATGTGCTTTAAACTCAATTGATTCTAATGAATTAATCTTGTTTGAAACAAGTTCATATTAGAAATCAATATTGTTGTTGATCAGTAAATGAGATGATCGACAGTTTGTAGTTTGATGAAATCATCTATATTGTCAATGTTACATCATAATTCCATTGTATTAAAGAATAATGATAGTGATATACACAGAATTTAATGATCATTCAATATAAGTAAGTAGTACTGCAAAACTGTTTATCATTTTTCGTTATTTGTTTGTTTGTTTTCATGTCAATATGATTCGCATATGGAAATCAAACCTGTTTATTGAAATATTCTATTTCCAATGTTTACTACCTCTTGATAGAGCAATTGACTAATTTAATTTGTCTTTACAGATGACTTTATTGTTTTCACTTTTAAAAGATTATGATACATAAATTTGTACTGAAGTGTTGAAGAGTAAGTACACTGGTCTATAAACAATTCTTCATGGATGTGTTTGTTTTTTCTTTTCGCCAAAAAAATGACATTAAAGCGGGTGAAGAACGACAACAAGTAAAAGAAGAAGAAGAAGAGTACATATTTTTATGTTATCGTTTATTTGTACTTTTTTGTTTACTTTGTGTACAACCAGTATTTTAATTGATGATGTCTTTCAATGATAGTCAATTGTCTTTTTGTTTTCTTTTCTTTTCTTTGTTTCTAAGAGATGATCTCTTCATTAAGTTATTTATATTATCATTCTCTTATATTATGATATAATATACAAAATATAATAGATCTTAATATGCAATACATATATATATTGATTTATTTTAATAAAAATGTTTATCATGTGCCTTCAATGAAACTATTATTTATTTCTAGATAATTTGATTATTATGTGTGAACGGTTCCGTTTCTGTGTGCTGCTTATGGTAGATTGTTTTGCGTGTGTGTGTGTGTGTGTCTGTGCATTGTGAAAACTCATAAATCCTATGTATTATCCCCTTTATTGAAATACGCTTTTATTTATATTAATAATACTACTGCTAATAATCATGATAATACAGTGCATATGTATATTGTGTAATAAATTTTGTTGATCTGACTTGAGTTTTATTCTTTGGATTCATGTCTACGTCACTTATCATAGTTACATTAACTTTTTTAACTTCCTCTAAATGTTGAGTTAGAGTATTCATTCATACATATTTATCATCCACTTCACCTCTTTTAACCATATTCTGAATCCTTAGTCTTTCTCATTGTCATTTTATCTTTTTGAGGTATCATGATTTAAAAACTTTAGTTTTGTCACATTTTTGTGCCGTGATCTGCACAGATGATAACCTATATTGATGATCCCGACCGTTGTTGTCACCTAGACGTGGTGGTCGGGCTTGCCTATTGTGATGAATCAACCGACCTATACTGGCTAAAACAGTCGTTCCTCAAGGTCATACCATCCAGACAGGTCGGTTGAAGAGCGGTAAGACTAAAAGCAGCAAACCAAGGCAAAGTCGTACTACTGACCGTACAGAAGTGGGACGGCAGTAAGGTGTTTCCTTCAGAAACCAGCATGACAGCGATGCTGCCTTCTCACAAAGGAAGGGCGGGGTTGGAAAACATTGACCCTAAAAATGCACATTTCACCTTATCCCACAAGTGTCCGTCTCCGGCGGTAAGGTCTCAACAAGTACGGAGATAACACGGAAATTACTCATAAAAAGGTCGTTTGTGACCGACCTCAATCAGTTGTCCCCTGGGCACTGCGGTCACGCTCTCAGGTCACTAAGACCACCTCTAATCCAATTTCCTTTTCAGGTACCTCCAGAAGAACCCTTTCACACTGTGGGCAACCGGGAAGTGATAACTACCCTCATACTTCTAACAGCACTCAAGACCACTGACTAAGAACGATGACAAAAGTTTGGATTCAACAATGTTCCTTTGGTTAGCTTATGAATACTTTCATACTAACATTCTGGGTAAGGTTGTCCAATAGTTATCGTTTCATATGTGAAGCTTAGTTGTTAGATCCACAAAAACAAACATTTTTTGTCAATTAATTGAATCTATTAACAATCTTCCGTTGTTGGGTATTAAAAACATCCGTGTCCGGTAGAGACAGATATCTACCTCATTGAAATGGAAGATGGTTGCGCGATTTCGTGGATTGGTTGAGCTTAGACATTAAAACCGTTGGATGACCGCCGGCTCAGTGGTCTAAAGATTAAGAGTTCGCGCGCGGGACTGAAGACCTTGCGTTCGGATCTCACGAGGGAGATCATGGATGCGCACTGCTGAGGAGTTCCACAGTAGGACGAAACGTCCATCTAGTGCTTCCAGGTTTTCAATGGTGGTCTAACATCAATCGCTTCATGATCTCAATCAAAAACTTACTAATCTCCACAACTCGTACATTGTTACCTCAATGAAGTTATGATTTGAGTAAAAAATGCTGAATTAGTTTAAAATATTAAAAAAGAAAACAATATAAGTCTATAAGATCACCAATTGCTCATTTAATTTTTGTTGGAAAACGTTGATGATCAGTAAAATAAAGAAAAATACTCTTAGATATTTAATTGAAACGGATCAATTATTTATGTCACTTAACCATTAAGTATGAAGAATTATTGATTATTTTTTCAGATTTTTATTCCTATATTCGATTGTTCAATAGTCAACTGATGAAATGTCATTACTATAATAGTTTGACTGAATGTACACTAATCCATTCGAATTAAATTTCAGTGGTTAACATTTACATAGGACACATTCCTCTGAACTATTAAGTTAATCTGATTCAATGGGTGAAAGTATAATTTATGAATGAACCAATCAGATTTACGATAACAGGTTTTCGATTTTGGCACGAAATTTATTCATCTATTTGGCTAAATAAAGTTTTGGCATTATAACTGATGTTCGTTCGTGATAAAAAGCATAAATCTAATTCCTAACTTTAACTATCAAGTGTAAATTATAATTCTTATTCTTCAGACTTTTTTATAATCCTCATTTAGCATTAGTAAGTAGTAGACACTTTCAAAGTCACTTTAGAGTGACTTAAAGGTTGTCCATAAATTAGAGTCTCATCGATTCAATATATTAATTATAGTATATCAATCATACATCGATTGTAGCATTTCCATCCACTTTCAAAGTGGACTGACTTTTGTAATTAGATAAATTAATATCTTGTTGTTTAGTATTCTCAGTAAGAAATAAAATTAAGCTGTAATAATAAAAAAATTTAGTGAATACCTTCAAACTTAGATTTCCAGTCGCTTTACAACCAAACTAACCTTTAATAAAATTTGTATTACCACTTAATTATAATATAATCTTACAGAAATCATAAAAACTGCATGGTGCAATATACAACTAAATATGAAGTGAATATCGTCAATCAAAGGAATTATTACTTTAGTTTTGACTCAACAAATTCGTTAATCAAACAAAATAAGTAAAAGACTTATCGCAGTCATTTTTTACTTCATCTGACCATTGTTTCCATGTAAATTGTATGAAATACTATTTTGGGAATAAAATTTCACATAAGTGAATGATTCCATCATATATCACTGAACATGTCGCCTCCGAATACTCTGGTACGGCCGAGAATGGGGGGAGTCCGATCTCCCTCTTGAAATGCTCTCACATGGCCACGTGCATACAACCACTACCAGGGATGTCCTACTCACTACATGGGTGTTGTTGATGAAATTGAAAGGACGAAAAGCAAATGTCCGGCGCTTCAACCGGGTTGGTGGACATGGAGAGTCCACCTAGGGGAGTGGGAAAACCCTCAGTCCAAGCCGATGGTGCACATGGACTCCAGGACGCTGAGGGAACAATTGGCGTATGGACCAATTATTGGTCACCGGCTACCATGGTACTGTATTTCCTAATGTTGCTCTACTGCCCTGTGGATCAGACGTTCAGGTCGAAGGCTCCAGGTGTAGCTCCTAAGAAAACCACCCGTATCAGTTTGGGCACCCAGGCAATATCCCATCCCTCACATAGATCGAATGATTAATGTGGTGCATATGTATTTAGTGCCTCCTTATACCAATGTTTATGTGTTTATATAAATAAGCTAACGTGTCTTAAGAATAATAATTCATTTATCCATGTATCTTTATTATATTCTGATATTTAATGATCATGTAATATCTAAAACACTAGAAATTATTTCAGGTATGTAAATCACATGAGTAATTATATTTTCTATGACCGGATTAATTTAATATACAGTTTAAAGTACTGAAATATTGTATGAAGGTAATTCTTAAGGTAAGTTATATGTTTACTTACTTACGCCTGTTACTCCTAATCGAGCATAGGCCACCGACCAGTATTCTCCAATCCACTCTGTCCTGGGCCTTTTTTTTCTAGTTCCATCCAAATCATGTTCATTTTTCTCATGTCTGTCTCCATTTCCCGGCGTGATGTGTTCTCTGGTCTTCTTTTCCTTTGGCCTTGAAGACTCCATGTGAGGGCTTTCATTGTGTCGTAGTTGGGTGCTTTCCTCAATGTATGTCCTATCCACTTCCAGCGCTTCTTCCTGATTTCTTCCTCCACTGGGATCTGCTTTGTTCTCTCCCACAGTAGGTTGTTGCTCTAAGTTTCTGGCCAACGGACCTAAAGTATTTTGCGTAAACAATTGTTAATAAACACTTGTATCTTCTGGATGATGGCTTTCGTAGTTCTCCAGGATTCCGCCCCATACAGTAGAACTGTCTCGACATTTTTATTGAAAATTCTGAATTTAGTGTTGTTCGACAGACAGTTGTTTTGAGTTCCAGATGTTCTTCAGTTGTAAATATGCTGCTGTTGTTTTGCCGGTCCGTGCCTTCACATCCGCAAGTAAACCGGATTATTATTATTACTTTTTGATTGTAGCAACATTGGATTTCGAATTTCCCATATTATTCTATTCTCAAGCCTTATCAACTGGACTAAATTGAATCCTAGGTGTTATATCCCGATAAGAATAATGAATGGTGACTGTTGGGATCCATTTATGGAGCAATACTATACGTATATTATTATCGTATAATTGTTAAATAACTAAACTGTTCATATTCATGTCGCTCTTATTATAAGTTTTATTTTGACCTATGGACTATTATTATACGTTTTACCATTCTGGAGTTATATCCCGTCTGTTAATTACTACCTCCCTCATTCACAGCCACATTTGGCTAAAACTTGTGCAAATGTTATTTTCTATTTTATGGTACGATGTGGTCTGTATGGTTTCTATATAAACCCAGTATATTTGAAATACATGATTCATATTGCAGAGGCTAAGATTGGTGTTCTGGACTTAACTGGCTGGGCTAGACAGAGAGCAGGGCCAATCAGGACTCTAGGCTGTTCACATGTGTTTTATGTGTCACTGCTCGGTCGATAATTTCTCTGCCCTCTGATTTGCGGTATCGTTGCGTTATCCAATATACAGGGCACACAGGTTCACAAGTTATAACACTAGGGATACTGGAACTTTACACCTTTTATTTCAACGGTTAAATTAATATACACTAACGTAAAAAATTAATATAGATGCTTCAATCTTGAAGATCAAATCTAAGAAAATATAAACGTAACTCTATTCAAAAGGGATTGTTTTTTTTACAAACTTTTCGATGTGTCAATGTTATAAATCCAATCTGCTAAATATTTGCAATAATAAACAATTTGAATAATTACTGAAAAAAATAAAATACCGAACAATGACATACATTGATGTGAAACTTCTAAACATACACTTATTTATTGATAAGTCTTGCTAATCGAATGTTGGATTTGTTTCCTGAATTCTTCTAGTAACCCTCAAGTTAGATCGACACAGAGACTTGGATACGAGAGGAAAGGCGCAAAATATGTAAGAAACATTTTACCCCAAAGGTTCTTTTATTTGCAGAAAATATAGGATTTTTATAGTATTTTAGATGTCCTTGGGTTTCTTGAAAATTCTAGAATGCTACCAAACATAGTAGCAGTGCAAGTAATCATCCAATCAGAAACTCTATATGTGACTTTCCACTTTCTGGATGTTTTTGGTCAAACGTCTAGTGATCGCAATTGGATAACATG